TTCTTGTTGGGATGAATATAGTAAGGACTAGAAGGAAGATCCTCCGGTTTAGGATCGGATCCAAGAGGAATAATATTCTTGGAAGTAGAAGAAAGAACCGTGAAGAACACAGAGCCAAAGAAAAGAAACAAAGGAGAAGGAAAGAAACATGTGGGAGCAACTCAAACAAAGATGTTTGGCTATCCAAAAAATAGAGAACGAAGAACACAAGAGGAAAATTCTTGCTCTAATACCATAACAGAGTATTTGAGAAATTTGAATGATGATGCTCGTCCTTTTTTTATTAATTACAAGTTTATATAGAAGGAACAAAAAGACAAGTAAATAAACTAACCCATTAATATGAGAAAAAATGAAAAACATAACTAACTATGGAAAAGAAAGGAAAAGAAAAAACAGTAAAATAAAAAAGAAAAAAATAACCGTAAATGTTAGACTAATAGTATATATAGTATGTTAATAATTCCAAAAGGTGAGTTTGGTAATTTGTCCACACACAATGCAGTGCGGATGTAAGATGTCTCTTTAAAGAAATAGAAATAGACATTAATCTCCAAAAATGGACAAACTTACTCTTCCAAGTATCCCTCGTGAATAGCCTATCAATGCCGTCTTTTATTTTTCTTAGTAATACTAACGAAGATGAGAGGAGGCGAGAAGCCATGTGGTGGGGGTCCCCTACCGGGACGAAAGGCGAGTGAGATGCGTGTGTTTTTTTATTTTGGGTCTCGTACTCTCGTAATTAAGCCAACAGGAGTTAGTTGGCTCATCATAGTCATCGCATGTCGAGGAACATAGGTGCACCCCTGTTGGAAACTTTTGGGCACTCGATTTATTCATACGTGCCGCACCCGATGAGTCCTCGCTCGTCTCATTTTTAATGCACATGTTTGTTTTCCACCATCTTCAGAAGCAGCTGAGGAGCTAACAAATTGAGTGCGTGATTATGGAAACATAATTAGATTTCTAACCATACAATATTCAATCCAATGCTTTAGGTTGCTCTTGAGCATATTAAATTAATAAATAATAAATTATCATGTGATGTGATGATTCAGGATGCTTTAAAAAATATTTATATACTTATTTGAAATTATAATTTTTCTAACCATTAGAAAATAACAATTTTTAAATATTTTACTATAATTTAATTTTACAATATCAAGCCAAAGTTCAAGTTCACATTGATAACCATGGATGCATATTATTTGAAAAGACCAAGAACAACTAAAATTGAAGTAATTGAAGTTCAAACATGTTTCGTTAAAGAAAATTATTAGATATAAAATCATTTGATCATATATATCTCTTTTTTTAAAAAAAAAAACTAAAAATATCTACATATATTATTGTAGACTTACCGTTTTTTAAAGATATTTTTTTGATTAATAAGGTATTTTCAATTATTTGATACATGAGTTTTAAAATATCTACATATATTATCTAGTGGGTTGATATATGCGAGTTAGCTAAATGTGTGAGTCCGGGCACTGATAATAGGATGAAGTTTGTGATGTTTTGGTGATTGGAGGCTCGAGTTTGGGCAATCGATAGTGGGTTAGACTTGGTGTTGTTTTGGTATGGAGTGAGCTTATGGGCTAGCAGAGCTGAAAAGAGGTAACGGGTTGGACCTAGGCATGCATGGGATGCCTAGTGAGTGCTCGCCGACCCGTAGAAAGAAAACGAGTAGCAAAGTTTGGGTGCTAAATAAGAAAGCTTCCCCAAGGTAAAGCGAGAAAGTGTGGAGATAAGCTTCTTTCAAATTGTCTTTATGAGCATATGAAAAAATATTTTTCACAAAATGAACATGTCGGGCAATGTAAAATCAATTTATAGTTTGGTCAAGACAACAATACCATAGATGAGATGGATTATAAGCAAGAAAAACACAAAGAGTTGAACAAAAATCTATTTTATGTTTGTTGTAGGGACATAAATAAGGAAAAAAAGACAACCATTTTTTTAAAAAAGAGTTGTCTGCTTTTTTTTAAAGACAACTTCAAAAGGTGATTTATTTTTAAGAATAGACGATGGCATTCGATTGATAAGGAATACTCGTAGTTTCAAAGGAAAAGACAACCAGTATTTAGTTGGAACCTTAGCTTCTCCTAGTAATGTAAGACTGTTTCAACAATGTGACGATTTTGTCTTTCAAACAAGTATCATTTTGGTCATGTGCATGAGGATATATTATATGATGAATGATACTAATAGTATCAAAAAATTTAGTTAAACTGTAAAATTTCCCACCCCAATTAGTTTAAACTTGTTTAATTAACAATTAAATTAGTGTTCAACCGTTTTTTGAAAATAAATAAAAGTAGTAAAGACATTCAATTTTTTACATAATGGAAAATACTAAATATGCTTCAAAGAGTGATCGATGAAGACTATGTAATATTTATGACCATTAAATGAAGCAATAGGAAAAGGTCCCTATACATCATTGAAAATTAAATTCAAAAATCCAAGTACTCAAATTTAGAGATAAAGACAATCAAAGACGACTTGATTTCCCTATTGGACAAGACAAGCAAGGACTAATTAATTTGGAAAAAGATGATAGACCATGATTTTTTAAAACAAAAGCTAAGATTCATTCATGCGGATGACCTAATCTAGAGTGCTAAATATTTAGAAAAGCATGGACAAATTAGGCGTAAGGAGTGGGCATAGTGGAAGGCGGCAGAAAGTAGAGATTAACATCACTCGTGCCTAAAAAAAGGAGTCATGTGCACTTTATCATTTAGATAGAAAGAAGAAGGGTGAAATTTTCAAAATAAATTGCTATCTTTTGCAAGTATTTTGACGAAAGTAAAGGTCTAGTTATTTGGGGGACATGAAAAATATCAAAAAGCTTTAAAGTTTTAGAAGGAGTGTGAATATGACTAGAACCAATATCATGAATGGGTAAATACTCACTATTGCCAACCATTAACCGAGCAAGTATCTAGATAAGGCTCATTAGTGATGAGGCTTACTAAATCCGGGGTCACATGGTGAGAAGCACCTATGTTAGGACACCATGATTGAGAAATCGAAACAGAGGAGTTGAAAGAATTATAGATGGATAAAAATTATAAAACATTTGTTGTGGGTAATTGATTATTGTGTGATTCTAGAAGGAGCAGATTTGACATTTGGTTCGATGGTCATTTAGAGACTAATTGCCCCTATTATTAGCACCAAAATTTGGAACATACCTATTATAGTTTTGACCGTGCCCTTTCCTATGGAAAGAGTGACCCCTACCATGATTTTGACTACCAAGACATTCTCTAGGAAAGTCTATGGTTTTATAGATTTGATTTATAGTTGATGGAGTAGGTAACAAACCCGTACTTGATACGAAGGAGAGAGATCAAAGGATGGGTCACAAAATAAGAACTCATGGCTAAGTAACATATCGTGGAGATTAGAGAAATTGATTGGTTTTGATTTTATGGATAGGGTAGTAACAATATGCTCAAAGTCGCTATATAATCCTTTGAACACATATAGGTTGAAATCAATGGGTAAAGAGGATGCCCGACTACAACAAGTTCATCACCGTAGGATTTTGCATGATGCAATTACCGAGAAACAAGTTCATTAGGTTCTTAGCGTAATTTTTAAAAAGAAAGGTGCAAGGTCATGAGACGGACGTTGGAAGGTGAGGCAAGTAGCACTTTCAAGAACCGACCATATCTCTCGAGATGTGGTACAGCTTAATAATCATTAGGAGAGAGACAATAGTGCTCAGCGAGTCGTTGATCTTGCTAAACCTGTGTGATATAATGTGAATTGGGTCGAGAAGAGGCGCATTCATCTATGTCAATACGAGTAGGAGAGCAAGGATTAGATCCGTCAATAAAGCCGAAAAGGCCTCGCCAAGAAAGAATAGTTTCATCCGAACTCGCCATAGTAAGAACTTGGTGTCGGCGAGTTTTAGAGAGCTAAAGTGGTGAGCATGGGTTAGCCGACCAAGTGGAGGTGGATTATGTGTGATTTGTGAAGGAGTATTAGTGGATGAAGAGGTATTGGTAGAGGAAGCTATTGGATAGTGACGTAGTAGAAGAGAAAGAAATGGCTTGGCTTAAGTAGGGAGAAAAAGAGAGCAAGTGTTGCTTTTGTAGGCTCTGCTATTAAGTTAAAATAGAAATTTAAGATTGAATGAATAATATTTCAACTTGATTTTATTCGGAGACTAGTTACCCTTATATAGTGTTACAAGTAGTGAGTTTATAAGACTTTAAATATGTATAAACTACTTAATTATCTACAATCGATAAGAGTTATCTACACACATCTTTACAAAGATGTATCGAAAAGATTCGATTGTTGTTGAGAAGTCTAATAGGAGAGAACTTATAGCAGAAGATGGAGACCTAGTTACTCGTAGACTTTTTAGAATAATGTCTTAACGCTAAGAGTAAATAATAAATGAGTATATCTTGTTCCAAAAAACTAATTATTTAGTACCTGCATTTTACAAATTTTTTTATAACTTATTTATTTATTTATTTTTCTCTTCTTTAATTTAATTTTTATTTTGAAAATAAAAAAAAAGTAAAAAAAATATGGAAGGATTGATGAGAAAAAATAATATTTTATAAAATAAGATAATATTAAATTAAAGGTGTATTGATTAAAAAATTAAAAAATTAATTAGTTTCTTAAAAATGGAGAGATCATTTTATAATTTACTTGGAATACTAATCCGATTCTCTTTGGTCTTTAACTCTTTGTTTTTCGAGAGAGAGAGAGAGAGAGAGACTCTCTCTCACTGCTCAGTGTGTCTTAATTCTTTCCAGCGAGCCATTAGACTCCAACTCAATCAAACATTATCTGTTCTGATCCCATCTTCCATTGCCATATCTCTTTATTTCCGTTTCCTTGAAGGAAAAAAAAACCCTCTTACATCTACACCTATACGACCATATTACCTTATCTTAAAAAATAAACCACATCCAAGCAAAACTAACTGAGGACCCCTAGAGTGTCTAGTGCCTCTATCGTCCATGTCGAAGCAAATAGCAGGGAGATGGATTACACCATCCTCTCACTTCATGTTACCACCTATTCTATCGAAGATAAACACTCCAATTTTCAACATTGTAACTACTATCCCTACCATTAAAGCTGTAAAACTGAGCACCCAACAAATTTCAACCACTCTTTGTAGAGCAAGGAGAAGATCAGTGAGATATGAGGGCGCAGATGAGGATGATGGAGAAGAAGAATATGGACATAATGAGGAGATTGCAATGTTGGAATTTTACAGTCAGTCAGCCATAGGTGAAGCCCTTCTTGTGCATGCGATTGTAGATGAACAGGTAGTGGAAGTGCTCATCTTTAAGGTAATTAGTACTTAATTTTGTCAAAATTTCTTGTTATCTCAATTCCTTTCCCTGCGTGGTAGTTGCTTTTGTGTAGGATATCATGTGTAGGAACATGTGGCTTGGAAATGGGTTCTGGCATCTTCAAAATTACTTATGTTATTAATTTCTTTGGAATTGACTTTATTGAACCACAAGTAATTAAGCCTAGTAATTAGAATTTCTCAAGGATCCATGAAAAAGAAAAATCCGGGAAAAAGGAATCCAATAACAAACGTACATTTTTTTTCTATTTTAAGGAATTTCAAAGTTGTGAACAAATGTTGAGAAATGACTGGGAAAGCTGAAATGTGCATGAATTTTTAAGGGTAAATCGTTACTATTTTTTTGAGCTGTTCTTTAATGAGCATATAGTAGTGTTAATTTCCTGTAATTGTGATGGTCCATGCTACAATCACTACCTCCTCCTTAATTTGATTTTTCAAAGTCGTGTTCATTGTTTGTAACCTCAGGGATTCTCTTCATGCCTTAGCTACGGGACTTCATCGGACCCATCAAGAAGTGTTCTCCCAGCAAGAGCAGTTATAAAGTCAATTGACAGAATCAAAGGTCCGTTTGACCCCTCTAATATAGAGTATCTAGAGAAGGACCTAACATGGGAAGCCTTCAAGAGCCGTCTTGCTCCTAAATAATAACTTCGAATTGGATCAATTAACATTTTGAAAGTGTCTTAATTTCTTACTTTAATTACGAATAGAATCTTCGTGCCACCAAGAAATCATTTTGCAATGTTAATTTTCTTGCAAGTCCAATGCTAAAACCTATGATCCAAATTAAATGAGTGAGGTTAGTAATTATAAATAAAATCAATACAAATATAAGTGGAAATAGCTGCCGGTCAAATATAAATGAACAGGTTTCAGCAGAAATTGAACTTACAATTTTTATAATAGGGCACCCCATTATCCATTGAAAAAAAAAACAAGAAGATTTTTTGCTATTAATTTCGTGGGCAGAAAGAAAATATAATCCGTATCTGATCAATGATCTCAACTTTTTTTTTTTTTTTAATCATGAGTCAATAATCTCAACCTTTTTTTTTAATGATGAGTCAATGATCTTAACTTTGATTGGTGTATTTTAATCTTACAAATTCAGTACTTCTTTAACTTGTTTGAAAAAACGCATTGTTAGGTGACAAAGGGAAAATTAAATTTTGCTAGTCTTTGATCAGATGATCTTTGAACATTGACAAACAATTAACTTGGGAAGAAAGAAAATTGATGGGGCATTTCATTCCCCTGTACTGTATATATATATATATAGTTTCAACTGGCATGAAGTTGAAGACAGATAGTTCAAGTGAGTGAAAGAGATACGAGAGATGGAGGAGACGAAGAGAGTGAGACTTCATGGAATGTGGCATAGCACATACTCTAAGAGGGTGGAAATGGCTCTCAAAATTAAGGACATACCTTATGAGTATGTGGAAGAGGATTTAAGGAACAAGAGTTCATCGCTCCTCCAGTAAAATCCTGTTCACAAAAAAGTACCTGTACTAGTTCATAATGGCAAACCTGTGATTGAGTCTCTTATTATCCTGGAATATATCGATGAAACCTGGAAAAGTACTCCAAGGCTCCTGCCTGATGATCCTCATCCAAGATCCAAAGTTCGCTTCTGGGCTAGTTTTATCCAACAACAGGTATAAATAAAGCATATTGTTATTTAAATTTCATTGTTAGCTAAGACTAGAATATTATATTGATCCTGACAAGTAAATCGACGCAGCTATTTGAGTCCACGGGTAAATTTATCAGGAGCGATGGCGAAGCACAGGAAAAAGCAAGAGAAGAAGTGCTTGAGAAAATGAAAGTATTTGAAGAGGGAATTAAGGAATTCTTTGCAGAGGATATTCGAACTATTGATGACACAAAACTGGGATTTATGGACATTCTGGTGAGTACAACATTTAGCTCTTACAAAGCTTATGAACAAGTCCTTGGAGTCAAAGTTCTAGAGCCAGAAAAGAATCCTCTGCTATTCACATGGGTGACAAGTTTGAATAAGCTTCCTATAGTGCAAGAGTTGCTTCCTCCCGATGACAAGCTTGTGGCAATTCTGCAGAGTATTAGGCAGAATGCACTCCAATCTTCTAATTAACTATTAAGCTGGTAATATGGCACTAGAAAAATAAAATAAAAAGGGAGTTTTTACTGTGTGGGAGTTTTTGTGGCTTAATCTTTTGGTTATTGGGTAAAGTCGCAGTAATTCCAGCTGTCAAGGAATTGAAGAATGGAATCCAGGCCTGCGGCATTTATCATGGACAAAATATTTCTTCTATGTATTGCAAACTAAGCAGAAAAATTCCGCATTACTTGAATAAACAGTTTTATCCTTTATAATAATGGGCTATAGTGTAAAGGAGCTGGCTCGTCTGATGATCTGTGATTTTTGCTTTACTTTTTTGTTATCTGTGTCTCGAAACTAATTTAGTTTTATGAAACTAATTCAGCTATTCAGTACAGTTAAAAGCGTGTCATTCAGATCAAGACTACAAAAACGATAAAAATATTTACTTTCAATTACTTGATGGGTTTGAACTTCCATGATTAAAAAAGAGAGAGTAACGTGCCCTAGTTTGTGTTTTGGGTCCCTACCCTCTCAAATCATTTGGAGGAATTCAAAAAGACAATATTGGTTTTGAAATGCTGACGTATCAAAAATATCTTTGAAATAGTTTCTGGAATTTTGAATTCTGAAAGTAATAATGTAGAGTTGAACCGGATGTGGATGCACCGGGATTCATATGACAAAATATTTCAAGGTTAAAGTATTCTTAATTTCCGGTGAAATCAGACCAGACAGGCTTTTTCTTAGGAAAAGACATTGCTACCTAGCTATGCCTTTTACATCACCGACGGAATCAAAGGTGCTTTTGACCCCTCGTATCTAAAGAAGGAACTGAGATGGGAAGCCTTCAGAGCCGTCTTGCTCCTAGATCATGATTTCAAATTCAATCGATTAACATTTCGCAAGTATTTTAATTTCTTCCTATCACCAGAAATTGACATTTTGGAAGTATTAAAGTTTCCTAATCCATGACTTCAGTCGGAATGGAACTTACAATTTTTATAATGGGGCATCCATTGAAAAAATATATATCACTTCGATTATTAATTTCGTGGGCTCAAAGAAGCAGTAATCCATATCTGGTCAGTGATCTCAATTTTTATTTTTATTTTTCAATCAGAGTCAATGTTCTCAACTTTGATTAGGGTACTTAACCTTACAAATTCATTGCACTCTGGGTATGAACATTATTACTTCTTTAATTAACTTCTTTAAAAGAATGATCTTTTTGAGCAATGACAAACAAACTTGGGAAGAAAGCAAATTGATGGGACATTTCATTTATCTGTATATGTGTAGCGTCCACTGACATGAAGAAGAATCCAGTTCAAGCGAGTGAATCTGACAGGGGGAGATGGAGGAGACAAGCAGCGTGACATTACGTGGAATGCGGGCCGGTACGTACTCTAAGTGGGTGGAGATGGCTCTCAAAATTAAAGCCATACCTTATGGGTATGTAGAAGAGGATTTAAGGACAAAAGTCCATTGCTCCTCCATCCAGTACCTGTACTAGTTCATAATGGCATGCAAACCTGTGATCGAGTCTCTTGTTATCCTGGAATATATCGATGAAACCTGGAAAAATACTCCAAAGCTCCTGCCTGATGATCCTTATCAAAGAGTAGAGGTGAGCATTTGGTTTTGGTTTTTTTTTTTTGGGTTTTGTACTATTTTGATTCAGTTTTCTATTAACAAAACCACCAAACACATAAACCGAACCTGAACTGAATTCGAATTTAGCTTTTCACGTTGAAACTGAAATTTCGGTTTCAATTTTTTCGATTTAAATTGATTTTTGAAACAAGTAAAAATTTTGAATTTTTTTTTCTTTTTTGTCAGCATTGCTGTAAATAAAGAAGTTTTCAATACTGACATTCCTATTTTTCCTTCTCTTTTCATTTTCATGGGTAACCTCAGCTCATATTCATGAAGATTTTCTTTAATGCCTTGATTCCTAAAATCCAACTCCATTTCTAAACTCATTTCTCGAGGACATTGTATCATTTTAGCATCCATAATAAAAAAATACAATCCATGATATACATCAAGCATTAAATCTATCAAAATAAGTATTAACTTTAAAATCTTGGCATTCTCTATAAAAAAAACACTCATTAAGTCAGATAATATATCAAAATATTCAAATTTGAAAAATTAATAATCGGAAACTCTCATATGTTAATTAAGGACCTCATTACACCACCATACTTTAACATGGGAAATGACAAAACCTATGATCTTCATCTCCACTGTGTCAAAGTTTTCATGCATCATGCTAAGAACGTTAAACATGATCAAAACTATTTTCAACAACAAAGCAGAGACTTCAAATTTGAATTAGTACATCAACAAGTTTCAGTTTAATTATGGCTTAGTTTTTGGCAAACACGATTTTCATTTTCTTATTCTCCGTAAAGCAATACGATAAAATTTTTAAAAGATCAGAAGTAAACAACTTACAGTGAACTTTTCGATCAATAAAGCAATTGGAAAGAGATGGAAAATACTTGTGGTAATTAAAAAATCTTAATGTAAATAAACTCACATGCTTGAAGATTGTTGCAAATAGTCAAGGACCATCTAAGTGTATCCACACTAAATGGCTCAGAGAACTAGGAAAGAAAACTAGAATGATAAACACATACAGCAGCAAGACTTTGGAAAACTATCATGCTTATCTGTCTTCAATAAATTAAAACATGTTTTCTCAGTAGCACATACTTAACCAGCTCTAAGATCAATATACATGTACTTTGGAACTCTAAAAATGAGAATGCATCATCGGTAAAACAAAAACAAAAGTTAATTTGATCAATAATTGTCACTAGCTTAGAAAAAGCCATAAATCTAAAGTTATCAGAATATGGTCTGATAAAAGAAACCTGCACATAAATGCTTGACAATGAAGAGAAAGTTTCTCGTAATTATCAAGTTTACAAAAACTTCAAATAGAAGGTTTCTCATAAAAGAATATTATTTCTGTAAGAAATTGAAAGTATACCTAATTCAGTATACGTCAGGTTCTATTGGGATTCCAAAACCAAATCTTGTCACAACAAGATCTGATCTGTATCAAAGCAACATTAGACTTAAAAAGGCTTTAAAAACTTGGTAGCTATTCGTCTTCGTAACCAAAAAAATCGATACAAAAAATAACAATATTTATCTCAAAGTTTCCAATGACATCCAAAGATTTTGGAAAGGTATGGAATAAAATGTTAGAATTATGTCTATCATACAACATCAATTTAAGTATGCTTTAAAAGCATTTCATTAAAACTTAGATGGGAACAAACTCCATAAATAATTAAAACATGTTTATATCAAAATGATTGGATGTGAATTGAAAAGAAATTTGAATATGTGTTTGAGCAAATGTGTTATTTTAATTATTTTCATAAATTTCATAAATGCTTATTTAATATGAAATTATACTATTAATGTGATTTGGAGTATGCATTGTATTTAAAACCTTGATTTGAAATATGTATAAGCATAAACGGTTTTTGAAAATGTTTTCAAGACCCCGAGGAACTTAGCTACGGGGGCGTAGCCTTTAAGCTCAATGATATGAAGCTCTAGCTAGTAGGAGAGGTGTAATGCTAGCTCGTGTGTATCGATCAACATGCAAAAACCTAGTTACGAGGGGTATGACCTTTGTGTGTTTACATGCAATGATACGTTATTTACCCCATGAGTGTATAAAAACCTATATATGTGATTTTGTATGATTATGATATATGTATGTATAAATGTTTCGATGATTTGATAAGGAATGATTTTGAACCATTTAAATCTATGATGTACGATTCGGTTTTATAATATGCATTGTTTTAGAGAACTAGCATTACATTTTAAGATGGATTTGAAAGTATCACCCTTTAAAATATTTCCCTCCCTTAGTGTATTATATAATATCTACTCACTAATCTGTTGATTGCTCACCCCTCATAATTTCAGCTTTGCAGGATATTGAGGGATTGCCTATTGCTTTTTTTGCTTCCTTTTGATCGTTTGTCCGGAACTCGACACTTTGATCATATGAATCATTTAATTATAATTCCTAAAACCTATATTTGTTTATATTGTATTCTTTGAAGCTCCGTAGTTATAGCTTGTGGGTCTTGTGTTAGAGATTAATTATGAATATTGATTCGAGAAAGATAAGGATAATATTGTGTTATGAATTATATTGAAACTATAAGTAATGTTTATCAAGTTGGGATAATGTTAATCAAAATAATATTTGAAGTGATATTGATGATTTGAGGATTTAGGTTGATATTCGAGGCTTGCTTGAGTCAAGGTGGGCCTCATGATTTTCTCAATTCTTTCATCGATCATGGCCCACTTCTAGGATCGCGACAAGTGTAGATATTAAAGCATAGATTTCGTAGTCTAGGATGACCGCAAAGTATGTGTTCGTTCTAATTCATGTTCTTGCTTACATGGATCAATCAACCGAGTGTCCACCTTAGTTTCTATGTTTATAATCTTGAATTGCATGTAAAAAGTAGGGTTTTATCATGTAAAAATCCCTCACATGGTTTGCTTAATTTTGACATATGGCCATGTCTAATTACTTTTCATCCCGTGTCTAGTAGATACTCGTCCATGTGGCATTTCTTTCTTCTTGAATAATTTTATGATGACACATGATCGTGTCATTTTTTTCCCTTCAAGTCATGTCAATTGCTTCGTGAGTGTGGCTTTTCTTCCTTCCTTGGATGATAATTTTATGGTGAGACACATGCATGTCAAATTTGTTATACAAACCATGTTTAATCTTTTTGCACATGTCTCTCTTTGTGCTAAAACACGTAGGGGTGTGTCACTTTTTTAAATAAATTGTGTTTGATCCTTTTGCTCATATCTCTCTTTATGAGAATACATGTACGGGCGTGTTAATTTTTAAAGCAAATCGTGCTTAGCCCTTTCTATCTCGTGTGTTTCTCTTTATGCCAAAACCCACACAAGCGTGTCACTTTCTTGCACAAACCGTGTCTACCCATACTGCTAGTGTGACTTTT